GTCTTCTACAAAATTCATAAATTTCAGGGAGGTCTAACATGCAGTTTTCCCTCCAGTGGTTTTATATTTGATAAGCACTTTCCTATGGACTAATTAATTATCTAGGTAAATTATTTGCTAGGTTTCTCTTTTTTTGTCATCAACATCTTTACTCCATGAAGAAGTGAGGACCAAATCATTTAATTTATTTTAATATATTATATATATACATATATGTATTCTATGTACTATTCCCTATTATTCTTTTAAAAATTATTTAGCTAACATTACCCATTTATTTATTATTTGTTTTTTAATTGACACAAAAACTGTACATATTTATGGCTATCATATGATATTTCAACTATTTATACATTTTGTAATGGTCAATCCCAGTGGGCATATCTATCTCCTCAAACATTTATCATTGATTTGTAGTAAAAACATTCAAAATTATTTTTCTAGTTTATTTTAAATATACAGTATGTTATCATCTATAGTCACCAGAATTTATTTTTCTATCTAACTTAGTACTCACTGACCAGTCTTTCCCCACTCTACCCCTACCCTTACTAGCCGCTGGTAATCACTATTCTACCATCCACATCTATGAAATCAACTTTTTACATTTACACATAGAAGTGAGATAATGCATTATTTGTCTTTCTGTATCTGACTTATTTAGCTAACATAACATTCTTTAGTTCATCTGCATTTCATGGCTGGATGTATTCCATGGTGTGTATGTACTACATTTTCTATATCCATTTATCAGCTGATGGACACTTAGGTTGATTCCATTCCTTACAAATAGTGCTGCTGTGAACAGTGCTGCAGTAAAAATGGGAAAGCAAGTGTCTCTTCAACATACTGCATTCATTTTCTTTGGATTGATATATACTGTGTAGTGAGCTTACTGTATTATAAGGTGGTTCTGTTTTTAATTTTTTGAGGAAACTCCATACTGTTTTCTGTAATGGCTATATTAACTTCACATTCCACCAACAGAATATAGAGTATGTTTACATCTTTGTTACCATTTGTTACCATTTGTATTTTTGATAATAGCATTTTAATTAGAGTGGTAATACCTTATGATTTTGATATGCATTTTCCTAATAATTAGTGATGTTGAGTACTTTTTCATATAAATGTTGGCCATTTGTGTATATTCTTTGAAGAAATGACCATTTAGGCCTATTATTAATTTTCAATTGTTTTTATTCTCCCATTGTTGAATTCCTTATATGTTATATATATGAATCCCATATTAGATGTTTAGTTTGCATATATTTTCTCACATTGTGTAGGTTGCTTCTTTACCTTAGTTGATTGTTTCCTTTGCTAAAAAGATGGTTAGTTTGTTACCTTGTGTCTGGTTGCTCCCTCTACCCCTGTATTTTTAGGATCTTATCTGAATTATTCTTGCCAATTTCTGTGTCCTAATATATTTCTCCTATTTTCTACTAGTAGTTTCATAATCTCTGGCTTGCATGAAGTCTTTAATCCATTTTAATTGATTTTTGTTTATGATGAGAGAAAGGGATCTAGTTTAATTTTTCTACATGTGGATATCCATTTTTCCTAGCATCATTTATTGAAGAGACTGTCACTTTAAGTGGTATGGAGACACTTAAAAAACGTTCACACTAATATAATATCATAGTACAATATAATAGTGTAATGACATACATGCCATTAAACTATTTTTAAATGTTTTTATTAGCTCCTTATAGTTATACATAATAGTGGTCTTCACTTTGACATAATCCTACATATATTTAAACTTATATAAACATATTTAAGGGAATGTATTTCCCTTCCTCTACTCTACTGGTCTTCCTTCTCTTTATTGTTTTTTAAAGCTGGTGTTTTGTAGATATATACAAAAGTGAAATTAACTGTGGTATTTTCATATATGTACTTATCATGGTTTAATCAGTTTCATTCTGCAGTTTCTCCCTTTTCCCATTCTTCCTTCCTTCCCCTGTATCCTCTTCCTGTACTCCAGGGATCTCCCTTCCATTTTCATGGAGCTCACCATTTTTAACCCCTCTATTGTTGTAGCTTATGCAAATAAGAGAAAACAATCAACAGTTGACTTTCTGAGCCTGGTTTATTTCACTTAGCGTGTTGCTCTCCAGTTCCATCCATTTACCAGTAAATGCTGTAATTTCATTCTAATTTATGGCTAAATTGGTACCTGGCCTGGTTCCATAAATTGGCTATTGTGAAATGTGCTATTATAAAAATGATGTGTCTGTGTCAAAATATGCTGATTTTAGTTCTTTTGGATAAAAACCAAGGAATAGGATAGGATAGTTGGATCATATGGTGGTTTACATACTCCTAGTCTCATAATTTTAATTCACTGTATTAACTAATTGGAAGGGAAATAATGTATAATACTCATTTTCAATTAATTTAATTAGCTACGTTCCTTCAAAAAGTTGATATACGGAAAGTCAATCCATATGACACAGGACATTATAGTTTTAGTCTTGGGAACACAGATAATGGTTTAAATATTATCAGGAGAATGGGTTTTACAGTTCATGTTTGTATGTTTGATGAACTTTTTGTTCAGTGAGATAAGATGCATCACAAGAAAAACTGATCTTTCTTGCCTCCTTTCATCTAATCATCTTGGGTGCAGAATTTGATATAGTTTGTTAATATTTAAATATTTTTATTAGGCATAAGGAGAAAATATATACAGAATATTTAATTTATATTTTAATAGTGAACAGTGAAATTATGGTCAAAAGAATATGATTTTTTCAATAAAAGTGTTGAATATACTTAATTTGGAAGTGGAGTTATGAGTGTTTTAAAGTCAGTAATGTCCAATTCTTGGCAAAAGATTAAAAGGCAATATAAACATAAACTAATACACTAAATTATTTCTATATTTGATGTTAATATTTTGTTAATCAAAGGTAACATATATTTGTTTTCTTAATATCAAGAGTGCCTTAAAAATGTGACAGAAAGAAAACATTTTTTTCCTAGCATCATTTATTGAAGAGACTGTCTATTAGCAAAGAAAACATCTTCTTCTTTTTTTAAGGATCCTAAAGAATAGAAACTTAATAATAAGAAAAAACCACTTTTGAACTGGCATAGCCATCAGCTTGTTTTTAGGAATATACTTTTTTTTTTTTAAGAGAGAGGGAGAGAGAGAGAGAGACAGAATTTTTAATATTTATTTATTTATTTTTTAGTTTTTGGCGGACACAGCATCTTTGTTTGTATGTGGTGCTGAGGATCGAACCTGGGCCGCATGCATGCCAGGCGAGCGCACTACCGCTTGAGCCTCATCCCCAGCCCCAGGAATATACTTTTACTAAAAAAGGAATTAATACTTACTTAAGGAAAGATCAAATCCTTGTATATATTCCATTACTAGTCTCATGAATAAATAGTAATAATGAATCACATTTTAAAATGACTCAAATTTTCTTTTAACGTATTAAGTTATTGAAATAATAAAATAGAACTAAATTTCATAACAGAAAGGCAAAGGCACAGGGCCACTATTGTGTGTTTAATAACTTATCTTCATTTTTGTTAAAGTATCTGTTGTGGGTATTTATAAGATTTTTAAATATTCACAGAAATTTAAAAACAATGAATTTTCCTCTTTAATGTTCAGGAAAAAGAAAGCAGTATTTCTGAATCATTTAATGTAGAGTCATCATAATGAATCCACTAATTACTAATTATGTTTCTTGTGGTTTACTCATATGACAGCTATCTGTGTTCTCAAGATCTGTTCAAAATTCAGAACCTAATGACTAAAATTTCAAATTTCTCTCAATTTGAAAAACATTGTAATTCTGAAATTTTTTGTTTTCATTTGTATGTTATATCCCCATAAGTTATACTATTTTCTCACAGGTTCAGTGTTTTCCTTCCATGATTTATGGGTGAAAGCTTAAAAACCAAAAGATACAATCTACAATTTAAGTGTGAAACTCATTTTGAAATTCGAAGCAATCCATCACATTGTTGACTCATAAATTAACAAATTTTGCTCCTCTTTTCTTTTGCTACCCATTCTTAATATTTATTATTCCTTGCTAATTAATCTTATAACATTACTAAGAAATTCTTTTATATTTATATTTTTCTTTTATAAGGACAAATTATAGTAATTGTAGACAACATTTTTTTTTAACCTTCAGGAATGAAAAATCTTACCTGAATTCCATGTATGTATTTGTATAACTTATTTTCTCTGTTTATTAGAGCAACATTGAAAATAGATTAAGTAAATTGTGGCATGGAGGCAGTTTTCTTATCTTTATCCTAAAATTAAATTCTAGGATATATTATAGATCTAGATAGGTCACATACAACTAGTATAAATATGCTCACCATTATATTAAAGAAAAAAATAAATAATAAGTGGTACTCCTTAAGTTGACTTTTACTTTTCTTCCTAGAAATTCAGGTGAAATATTTAGTAGGTAGCCTTATGTTTTAAATAATATCTGCGGCTTTTAATTATCTAGTCCCTTCTCCAGTAAGTAAATTAAAAAAACAAAAACAAAAAACAACTGATTCTCTACAATATAGAGTTCTGTATTATGGGGAATTAAAAAGGTGAGAAGTGACTGGAGATAGGGCCCTTTCTGAGCATGTGTGAGGCCCTGCATTGGAACACCAACACAGAAAAAAAAGAGGGTGTGAGGGAAGTTTATTACTGGGTCTTAAAAGATACTTTTATGCCAGTTAGTGATATAATAGATAAATAACAAATATGTACATACATACATGCTCCTAAAATAAATGGTCAACACAATAAATATTATAACTATTAGGGGGAAAACAACACTGTTGGTTCATAGAAAGCACATGATGATAGCTTTGTACATGAAATCAGATTTCTTCTTTCAGGACACCTGTATTTGAATGATTATTGGAAATAAGCATTAAATTTCTGGTGAAATAAATTTTCAAATTTATTTAAACATATTTTAGAAAAATATAACTGAAGTAGTAAACAGAATATTTACCTTTAAAATTAGGTCTGATTCTTGCATCATACCCTGATGTCCTCCCCATTAATTTATCCAGAAAGTCAGATGGTGACATTGGAGTACTTCGAGATCTTGCACTATTTGTTTCCTTTGTAGCAACCAAACTGCAAGTGAGAACAAAATGATAGACTTTACAAAATGAAGTCTTTCTAACAGCTGCTACCTATAAATTTTTTTAAATGTTAAGCAAAAAATACTTTGACAATAAAATAGAACTTTAAATACCATATAGTGGATATTACTATAATGACACATTTATATTTGGATTTACAATCAGTGCTTAGAAAGTTTCATATATATTCAGTTAAACCATCAGAAGTGCCACTGTTTTGTGTTAAATCTGAAAACAAAGTCTACTTTCAATAATAAATTATTAATCTTTCAAAATCTGTACTTTCTCAAACTTGAGTTAGTATTTTAGGTCAAAGAAAATATAAAAATTCAGCTATGAATAATAATTCTTTATTGAGAGTAAAAAAATCACATTTTAGGTTTGGTGAATTTTTCTTGGCAGTAGAAAAACTTTTGTACAACATATGAAACAGTAATATTCTTTTCTCCAATTAAATGCTTCCTATGTTACTAGTACACCCAGTTAAATTCATTCTATTTTCACTTGTGTGCCATTAAGCTGTAGTACATTTTCTTCAGATCTAGAATTAGTGTGGTGTTAAGATTGGAAAATTGCATTAAATGTGATTTGAGCCCTTGGATATTATAAGATTAGAAACTTTGTCTAGGAGTTTTTAAACTCCTAGTTTTCCCTCTATTTTTAAAAATTTAGACATTTTCCTTTGTATGCATTTGTTCTTCTTAGAAAGCCATAGTGTAATTGCACCACTGTCCAGCTCCTCATACATATAGGGTGGTCCAAAGAAGGCCTGGGCCTACTGACTAAAATCAAAAGATTGTTTTATCCACAGACTTTGCTCAGAAAAGTAAACCTGACTTTCTGAATCCAAGAATGGAGTTTGGAAATCATGTATTCAAGTTGATGTTGCTTCCTAGAGATCATCAATCATCACAACCATCTGCGGTTACTTATCTCAGAGCATTGTACCACTTTGTTCACATATTATCATAGCACTAATTATTAAATTTCTTATATTTCTCTTGTAAGAATTTTAGTGAGTAGGAAAAAGGGCTTTAGAGCATTTTCATTAATTGTCTACTTCACAGGTATATGCAGTGATTTATAGGGAACTCTAAAATTCATTTTCAGTGATGGGAGAATATTTCTGAAAACAGTATTATAAAAACAGTATTTATTAGCTATTGCATTATCTGGTGGTTATACCTAGTTCTGGGCACTCTAAATCAGTCCTCTCCTCAGTGATTCTCATTCTGTCTTCCTAGCTTTCTTCCCTACAGAAGCTTCACTTCTTTTTGTGTTGGTTCCATATTACCGATTGTCCAATTCCTTGTCATTGTGCTCACTTGTAAGCTCTTTTTCTAAGGCAAAATAAATCATAAAAATAAAAGTAAAAGCCTATTACCTTCTCAATGACTCTAGAACTTTTCTGTATTCTCTGGTTTTAAGTAACTTCTTCCTAGCCTATTAAACATAATAATTGTTCATATTCAATGGCTCAAGAATATACTGTAGAAAAGCATTGTTAGAGCTCTCATAGCTACATATTGCTGCATCTAAATGGTATCCTCTATTTTCTTTTAGAATTTCTCCTTTCAGTAACCAGATGATTAACTTCTACATTCTCCAATCATTGAAAATACCCTGTTTTAGGTGGGTGGACCAATGGTACAGAATAGAGGACACAGTAACCAATCCACAAAACTACAACTATCTTAT